TTAGAAATCTTCTCATGAACATGTATGGAGTAGGCACAGACAAGTTGAATTGCAAACTGTTCATCATCAATTTCTCCTAGTGGCGTATGTTTTGATTAGATGCATTTTCCAAAATTAAAGGAAGAAAAAAAGAAAAAAGCATAAACTGAGTTACCATAGCTAAAACTTCATCTCTTGTATATGCCTTGTCTGTTATCAGAATAAAATCCTCAACGGTTGGGACTGAGACCTCCTCGTACTTACAAGCTATTAGCATAGCTGTTACGCCGACTAACTGAAGTTTCTTTCTGATCATTGACTGACGCTCCAGGAACCTGTCGATGAGATTGACAGTAAGGAACAATGTCTCCTCCAAAAGCTCAAATTTGTAGTGAACCTGTCAGAAGCCGTAAAGCTTGATTAAGTTTTGAGAAGCTTAATTTCAACCCTTGAAAAGGACATTAACATGGAAATGTAAATAATGCACCTCAATAAGCCAGTCAACAAGAATGGCTCTCATCCTCTCATTAATGTCAAATTGATTAGTCATGTAATTTGGAGAGACACAGCTCGAATCCTGCGAAATAACTGATGGGTCAACATCATATATAAGTCCTTGCACCAGATTTTCCAATCAAGTAATTAAGAAATCATGGCCCTTTTATAACATTTTCCAACCGAAAAAACAAAAGCCCCAAGAAAGCTCTTTCCCGTATGATGTTCTGATCTACAAGGGAGGTTTTCTTTTAATTATTTGGAGAGAGGATCCGATGAATGTCCAAAACCAACAAGAAAAATTCTACTTAATTTGTAATTTTAAAGAACAGATTTTTATTACAAGAACCAACCAGCGGAGATATTTTGAACAGTTGATGATGCAGCATGCTCATAAGCCTACCTCGATTTTCTTGTAGAGGCTGTAGATATCATCGATGTACTCAACAACTGCAAGTGGATCTGTCCTATCGCAGGCGTCGATGTCTAAAACAGGTTCCTGCACATCTTCCATTTCAACTTCCTCCTGAGAAACAGAGGAGCACACGACATTATTGATATTGTGCCAAAAAACACAGACAATGAGATTAAAATGTTCAAAGACTTACAATCCTGTCTATTTCGTCGAGCATGGCTTCAGTATGCTTGACGAATTCTGGAACTTCATTGTCACTGGCATCCTCATCGTTGTCGTCGATAGCTATGATTTCACAATCTAAGGTGTAGCTTGGGTTGGGAGCCAACATGTTCTGTTTCTTAGTTGCCTGACATAACAGGATAGATAGGAAAGACAAGAGAGTAAACAAATTAAAAAATAAAAGAAAAATAAAATGATCGACATCTGGTTTATGGAGAGGGAAGAGTACATGAGGCTGAGGGGGTTGGTGATGCAGAACTGTGTGTCCTTTGCTCTTGCTGCATCATCAAAGAAATTCAAAAAAGATGAATGTATATTGAAGTGTTGACAAACTTTTAAAGTGACAGAGAGAGACAGATTGGTTTCGAAGTGTACCGGGAATGAACAGGGCTTCTGTTAGGCATAAGATTCTGATTGATGCTACGGAGAGGCAACCGATGATGGAGGGCCTTCAGATTGTCCTCCATTCTTGGATGCCCTTTGTGATTCAAGGAAAGGAGAAACATTAAAAACAACGAAACCTCAATCTCGTCCTCGTATCCAAGTATTATTATTAAAATGAAAAGAATGGATAAGGAAGGAACCAACCTTGAAGATCTGAAGAGGGCAGGCGGTTTTCCTTTGCGGCGTCCATTGGCTTTGCTATACTGTGTGTGCGTGCAGTGCCATAAACATGAATCAGAAAAGTCGGAAGAAGATGAAGAAAAGCAAGATCCGTTGAAAGAACACAAACGAAAATCAAGATAACATGGAAGACCCTTACGCTGCTAACTCACGCTTGTATGAATCTGAAGAAAAAGAAAATGAAATCTGAAAANAGTATGTTGTATTGTATGTGTTGATACGTGAAATCCATGAAACTGTGTTGAGCTGTTTGGAATTGATTTGGATGGGTTTGAATTGCTAAAATTGACCAATTGGAAGTGATTTAAGTGTGAAATCTGATATATTTTTGGTTGGATAGAAATTTGGAGTTTTGTGGTTTTTAGGTCACTTTGAGAGGAAGTGAGGTAGTGATTTTGGGCATTTGGGGTCTAAAGCGCAACTGAGCTGTTGGGGAAGTCTTAGCCACTGTAATGTGACTTGTTTGAGTCACTAAATTGATCAAACTAGGTGCAAAGCCGTGGGATTGGATTTTGAATCTTTAAGTTGGGAAAATTGGTGTTTTAGAGTTGAATTTGAGTCTTAACCACTTTAGAATGGTAGTAGGAATGTTTAGAATCATTTAGATAAGTTTAATTAAGTACAAAACAAGAATTAAGGGTGTTAGAAGTTAGTAAAAATGGTTAGGAATGGTTATGTCAGGTGTTGTTCATAATTCTGCAGAATTATGCAGTTTCATCGAAAGTGAACTGATAATCGTTCGGCCATGCGCTGTTGAGCGTTCAGTCTCATAGGTAGTGTTCGGTCTTGATGGTGCTCGGTCTCAGGTAGCGCTCGGTCATATGTAGCGTTCGGTCTTGATAGTGCTCGGTCTTAGGTAGTGTTCAGTCTTGATGGTGCTCGGTCTCAGGTAGCGCTCGGTCATAGGTAGCGTTCGGTCTTAGTGGGTGGTCTTGGTAACGATCGGTCTTAGTGGTGGTCTTGATAGCGTTCGGCCAAGGCTCTAAGCGTTCGGCCAAGGCTCTAAGCGTTCGGCCAAGGCTTTAGGTGTTCGATCAAGGTCCTGGGTGTTCGGCCAAGGCTCTAAGCGTTCGACCAAGGCTCTAAGCGTTAGACCAAGGCTCTAAGCGTTCGGCTAAGGTTCTAAGTGTTCGGCCAAAGCTTTAGGTGTTCGGCCATAGCTCATATCGTTCGGCCAAAGCTCTCGGTGCTCGGCCAAAGCTCATGCGTTCGGTTCAAGCTCATTTGCTCTTGTTTTGGTTTGAGTTAAGTGTGCGGAATGATTGAAATGCATAGTATGATCGTGGTAATGTTATTATACTAAAAGTATGTGAATGTATGAGACATGTTTGGTGGTTGAATGTAACAAGTATGTGTAATGGATGTAATTCCATGGATCTCAAGGGAGGTCACATGGTGGTGCCCTCAGTGTTTGGAATGAATGCATGGTAGCTCAGTTTTGGGGGTTTTCCTGACGCTCCAATGGTCTTTCATTCTCAAGTAGAGAGGATTGATCCATGTGGTGAGAAGTAGCAGGAGGTCCTAGTCTTGGGTGCTTCCAGTATGGTCCAAGGTGAGTGATAACGGACTAACCTCGTGAGTGTGGTAGGGTGAAACCCATTGGCAATGGCTTTGCAAAGCAGTAGAGGCCACCACGAGTGCATAACCCGCCATAGCTCGGCAATCATTCTAGTCCGGACGAGTCAAGTGTAAAATGTAAGAAGTTATGTTGCGTGGTCTAATATATCTGCCTTTAATTGCATATTGTGTGTGATTGGTATAACATTAATTTTGTATATCTAGCTCACCCTTGCTTGTGTGTTTGTGTTTGCTTGGGTATGCTTTCTTTTGCAATGATCATCCACTTGGATGTGAGCAGAGGTGGATGAGATGCCTCTAGAGCAGGCTTTGGAGGAAGACAATGTTGTTGCTTAGTTCATTAGGAATTTAAGTGTTTCCTTATCTTTCAAAACACTCTAGTATGTCAAGTTTTAAATTCTGAAGACCCTTTTGAGGATGACTGTAATCCTAATTACTCCTAACTGCTTTCCTATTTATGCATGATGACGTCTTTATTATATATGTTTTCTATATAATCGGGATGTTACAGAGACAGTACAAAGTTAACTTTTTTATGAAATAAATAATACAAAGAGACCGTACAAAGTTAACTTTTTTATGAAATAAATAATACAAAAATACTTATTTTTTCTTTATATCCGAAGGAGTTAGGAGAGCTACACTTACAAATGTACCTCATTCGCAAAAATGAATATGATATTCGTTTCAAAAAAACACATGGATATCCACAAATGTTAAGACATATATATTTTATACAATTCTAAAATAAAATTAAAATATATATATATATATATATATATATAATTTAATAAAAATAAAATAAAATAAATATTAAAATTTAATTTCAATTAAATTAAGTTAAATTAAATATAAAATTAATTTATATTTTAAATTAAATTAAATATAAATTAATTTTTTATTTTATTTTTTAAGGGTAATGGATACTCGCAGATTGGATAGTATAATACGTATACCCAACCCATTTATAAATGGATATTAAAATATTCGGTACCTGCAAATAGCAACTATCCAATGTAAGCTACATATTTTTTTGTCATCCCTAACAATAATGTGAAAATTAATAACTAGTTTATTTTTCTATAATAATGAAAACAAAATAAATAATTCTTCAAATATTATTATAAAGATTGAAATTGAAGATTAAAATATCAATATATATAACTTAACAAATAAATAAAATTTTAAACATTATTAAACAATATTTTAGATGAAAAAGGTCAAATTGTGTTAGAAGAAAAATTAAAAAAAGGTATTCATTTTTTATTTATTATTATTTGTGTTTTCTCTTCATTTCTTCGTTTTAATCCTTCTTTACATAAATAGTTAAGAAATTACTTCTACGATTCCAATTGAAAACTCCTTATCTTAATCCCATGACCATAATTTTACTTGCACTGATTTTCATCCATGGGTGCATGTCCCACCACTAGAGGATCATTTTGGAAAGCCACACATAAAACTTCTATCATTTAAGAATATGACTAAATCTTTTTGGTGATAATTTTGTGCTTATTCACTTCTGCAAGTGCAATTTTGTGTGCTCACATTTTTTCCTTTCATCCTAACAGCACAAACAGATCCTAAAAGAAACTAATTGAAGACCTATGATCATTTAAGAATCGGAAATGTAATCTGAAAAACTGTGACCATTTAGAAATAGTAAATGTAATTTGAAGGCCTAATGCAATAATCTTATCCTACTCATTTTATCTTATCATTATACTATCACAACCATTATTACAATACCTTGAATATCCACTCTACACACATTATACTCAAAGTAACTTTTAGTGATTGTCAACAACACCTGAAAGAAAAACCGGTACTGGTAGTTGGATTCTACTACTACTTACTTGCATTCTACAATCTCAAATTATCCAGCAGAAACAGGGCTGTTTCTATACAACCAGTAAGGTAGGCCTTGAATACAACCTTCTCTGAAAGGTTAAGGTAACAATTCTCTGAAAGGTTGCCAGGTCTTTGCGAAGCCTCCAAAAAAGCTCTCCGAAATTCCAAAAGTATTGCTACCCAGAAGCCAGAAGCTCCATGCGGGTTCCCATTCCCGTTAATTATCCAGTAAAAACAGAGCTGGCTCTACTTTTGCGGCACAGCCATATCTCCATGTACTGTACTTTCTATGTACACCAGTGAGTTTTCCTGATCCAGCTTTCCGATGGAAAGTAACCATCAGCCTTGAGCATTCTCTGACATCACACAGAAGGAATATTTACTATACACTTCACAAATTCAGCAATATCAACTGACAGACACTGACAATTGACAATAATAAAGACATCTCTGGTAAAAATAACTTACAGAAGCTGCTCTTCTGAGTAATCAGTATACCACTCACTGGTCTTAGTCCATTGCTTAAACTGGTACATGCTACATTGAGCTGTGTAAATGGCTGCAGCAGCTAGCAAAGATGGTGAAAACTTCAGCATTTTGTATTCCACCAAGCAAAGCTCAATCAAGAAGAAGGACGAGAGCTCCAGCTGACACAGTTTTACAGATCATACTCGTTAAGTTACTTTAGTATTATAAATCATCGTAAAACAATGCTGCATTACTCACCTTTTTATCAGAATGAGCTGCCTTTAGAAATCTTCTCATGAACATGTATGGAGTAGGCACAGACAAGTTGAATTGCAAACTGTTCATCATCAATTTCTCCTAGTGGCGTATGTTTTGATTAGATGCATTTTCCAAAATTAAAGGAAGAAAAAAAGAAAAAAGCATAAACTGAGTTACCATAGCTAAAACTTCATCTCTTGTATATGCCTTGTCTGTTATCAGAATAAAATCCTCAACGGTTGGGACTGAGACCTCCTCGTACTTACAAGCTATTAGCATAGCTGTTACGCCGACTAACTGAAGTTTCTTTCTGATCATTGACTGACGCTCCAGGAACCTGTCGATGAGATTGACAGTAAGGAACAATGTCTCCTCCAAAAGCTCAAATTTGTAGTGAACCTGTCAGAAGCCGTAAAGCTTGATTAAGTTTTGAGAAGCTTAATTTCAACCCTTGAAAAGGACATTAACATGGAAATGTAAATAATGCACCTCAATAAGCCAGTCAACAAGAATGGCTCTCATCCTCTCATTAATGTCAAATTGATTAGTCATGTAATTTGGAGAGACACAGCTCGAATCCTGCGAAATAACTGATGGGTCAACATCATATATAAGTCCTTGCACCAGATTTTCCAATCAAGTAATTAAGAAATCATGGCCCTTTTATAACATTTTCCAACCGAAAAAACAAAAGCCCCAAGAAAGCTCTTACCCGTATGATGTTCTGATCTACAAGGGAGGTTTTCTTTTAATTATTTGGAGAGAGGATCCGATGAATGTCCAAAACCAACAAGAAAAATTCTACTTAATTTGTAATTTTAAAGAACAGATTTTTATTACAAGAACCAACCAGCGGAGATATTTTGAACAGTTGATGATGCAGCATGCTCATAAGCCTACCTCGATTTTCTTGTAGAGGCTGTAGATATCATCGATGTACTCAACAACTGCAAGTGGATCTGTCCTATCGCAGGCGTCGATGTCTAAAACAGGTTCCTGCACATCTTCCATTTCAACTTCCTCCTGAGAAACAGAGGAGCACACGACATTATTGATATTGTGCCAAAAAACACAGACAATGAGATTAAAATGTTCAAAGACTTACAATCCTGTCTATTTCGTCGAGCATGGCTTCAGTATGCTTGACGAATTCTGGAACTGCATTGTCACTGGCATCCTCATCGTTGTCGTCGATAGCTATGATTTCACAATCTAAGGTGTAGCTTGGGTTGGGAGCCAACATGTTCTGTTTCTTAGTTGCCTGACATAACAGGATAGATAGGAAAGACAAGAGAGTAAACAAATTAAAAAATAAAAGAAAAATAAAATGATCGACATCTGGTTTATGGAGAGGGAAGAGTACATGAGGCTGAGGGGGTTGGTGATGCAGAACTGTGTGTCCTTTGCTCTTGCTGCATCATCAAAGAAATTCAAAAAAGATGAATGTATATTGAAGTGTTGACAAACTTTTAAAGTGACAGAGAGAGACAGATTGGTTTCGAAGTGTACCGGGAATGAACAGGGCTTCTGTTAGGCATAAGATTCTGATTGATGCTACGGAGAGGCAACCGGTGATGGAGGGCCTTCAGATTCTCCTCCATTCTTGGATGCCCTTTGTGATTCAAGGAAAGGAGAAACATTAAAAACAACGAAACCTCAATCTCGTCCTCGTATCCAAGTATTATTATTAAAATGAAAAGAATGGATAAGGAAGGAACCAACCTTGAAGATCTGAAGAGGGCAGGCGGTTTTCCTTTGCGGCGTCCATTGGCTTTGCTATACTGTGTGTGCGTGCAGTGCCATAAACATGAATCAGAAAAGTCGGAAGAAGATGAAGAAAAGCAAGATCCGTTGAAAGAACACAAACGAAAATCAAGATAACATGGAAGACCCTTACGCTGCTAACTCACGCTTGTATGAATCTGAAGAAAAAGAAAATGAAATCTGAAAATGGGAGGCGACAGCTGAGCCAACACTCAGAATAAAAAGAAATGATGAAAAGCGAATTTCAGACGGTGATGTCGCCGTGTCACTATTCCTAGCCGTTGCCTATCTTAATAACGGCTACTTTGCTGTTGAAATTTGAAAAATTAAAAACATTAAGGTTAACTTTCACCCTTTTTTCTTAAAATCTACTGCTACTTCAAAATTAAAGGTTTAACCACAAAATACAAGTTATTTCATACTTCTTCTTTTTCACTTTTAACTCTCCTTTTCGATTAAAAATTTATAAATAATTTTCTTTAAGATTAATTGTCTCGTTTCATGAAAAAATTAGGGAACTAAAAATATTAAGTCAATTTTATTTTACTAACATAAATTTATTTTAACGATGTGTGATAATATTATAAAATATACATTTTTAAAACTTATAATTTTCTCCATTAACTTATCCTTTTCTGAGTAATATTTGCTGTCAATTTTTTTGTTTACAAATTATGGATAAAAATAACAGTTAAAAAGAAAAATTTTCGTTCAACTTTCTTTTTGAGTACTTTTCCCATTAACTTTTTGAAGATAGTTTCTATATAATATTAATTGCGAATTTTAAATATTAATTATTAAAGATAAAATATTAAAAAACTAAATATCGTTTTAGAATAACACTCTTAAGAAAAATATTTCATGTGAATAAAATTCAATAATATCAATATATATTAAAAAGAATAAATAGTCAAACAGGTAGTCAATAAAAATATTACCGTAATTAAGTATTAAATATTTAACCCCAAAACATTTTTTAAAAATATAAGGAATTTATATTAGTTTTAAAGAATAAAAATGTAAATATGTTGAATATCATATTTTCATTTAACATTATTATTTACTCACTTTAGAAAAAATATATTCAGTTCATCTCATTAATACATTCAACAAAAATTAACTTGAAAATGTCAACTATATTTCATTCAATTAAATTTAATTTTAAAGATAACTTTTTGTAATTAATATTAATTAAATTAATTTAATGATTATTCACAAAAGATAAGTGTTTGATAACTTCTATTTTTTTTAATGATAATAATGTGTTAAAAAATATATTATAAGAATTAAAAATTAAAATTCAGTACAAACTAAAATAATTAAAAGAAATACTTAAACTTCTTGAATTCGTTTATAGTCTTTGTTGTTTATTTATTTATTTTAGTTGAGATGAAAATTTTACAAAAGAAAAGTAATTCTACATGTTTTTGTTTTTTATTTTGATGTCTTATAAATATGGAAATTTAGTAGTTCTTGGTCCTAACTACATTTATTTTTCTTACTTGGTCCATTCTAATATTTTTTTTATTTTTTTATTTAGTTCTCGCTATTTGTCAACCTTCTACAAGCAATAAGTTCTCAATTAAATGAGCATGTGAGTAGTTGGGGAGGAAAACATGTGCAAATTTTTTAATATTTTATTTGAAGGATAAAAAACTAACGAGCATATGTTTTAGTCTGTTGGATGACGAAATGCAAAGAAATCATTTTTCTCTGCTATAAAATAGATGGAAAACCATATTAATTTTAAAACATACATCTGTCAGTTTTTCTTACAGTAGTTAGAAGATGAAACAAAGATAGAATTACCATGATTTTAGATTTAATTATTAATTTGGTATATATATTTAAATTTTTTATTCGTTTTCATTTTTATATTTTTGTCTTATTTAATTCAATTTTTATTTTAAAATAAATAATTATAATTTATTTTCTCCGGATCCTATGGTAGATTTGAAATAATTTTACATTTTTTACTATTTTAATCTCACTTTTTGTATTACTTTTTATTTCTTTTATGATAGTTAAGGTATATTTAAGGATCAAGAGTAATTTATGTATAAAATAGATAAGTATGATATGAGTCTTATATTTTCATTTAAGTAAACTAAAAGACATTAATGTAATATGATTTTTGCTTAAGATATGAAGTTGTTATTTGTGTAAAATTCTTTTATAATAAGGAGTGGTAGGTCAATTTTACTCATTTTGATTCAACTTACTACAATGAAACGAGTCAAATTTGTAATTCTCTCACCAAAAGTTGTTGCCATTTTTTATTAATTTGTTTTTTAATTCTTTAATTCTTTAATTCTTTGATTCTTATAATATGTTTAATTGTAATTCTTTCAAGAATGTGAATGTTGAGTGTTGTTTCAACTAAATACTAATAAAGTAAAATTTTTAATTGTATTCAATTTTAGTTAGGATAAACGCAAAAAAAAAATTGTTAAAATTTATTTTTAATGGGATAGTGTTGCATTCGATAATACACATAAGAGTGAATTTTTAATTGTATTTAATTTTAATTAGATTTTTGTTTTGTTTAAATTGAATAAGGTGAAGAGATGGTTTAGCAGAAAAAAAATAATAATTTACCTGATTTTACGATTTTGTTCGACGATTTTACCAATCTTTATGTTACGATTATACATGAGATCTAACTTGCAAATACTAGAATTTAAATCTCAATTTTAACTATGGTCGAAACAATATGGTCGATAAACTTTTGCATTACTATTTACGTATGCTTCAAACTTCTGTATTGCTATTCAGGTGCTCTTAATATAAAATTTGCATACATAGTAATTATAATCCTTAAAAGTGAGATGTTCTCGTAATTAGTTTGAAGTTTAATTAAATTTTAACTTTATATGATAAATTTAAATATTTTTTTAATTAATTTTATGTTAATTTATTTCTTTATTTATTAAGTATTCTAAATTTTTTATATTTTATAATTGAATATTTATTATGTAATTTCTTTAAAAACTCGTTATTATAATTATTATCTTATTTATTTTGTATAAAACTTTATTATTAATATAAATTAATATTATAATTAATATAAGGTAATAATACAAGTAGAAAATGATAAATAAATTTTATTGTTTTCACTAAAATTCTGTTACAATAACTCTCAGTGACAGGTTATTCGTACGCTCATAGTTGACCTAGTCTGTACTATAATAAAGGCCTGCTTTTACTTTTTCCATTTTCCCTTTTCCACCATTGGCAAATAATGTCTTTCCTTTTCCATTTCAATGGTTACAGGTCCCCTCTATTGCGTTTTTAACTTCTTTATTGTGTTTTTGGATATTGTTCTTTATTCGACATTAAAAATATATTAATATTAATATTTTAAAAACATTTTTAGTATATATTGAAAGCACAGAAAATAAATAACACATCCAAATTCATGTGTCTTCATAAAGCTTTTCTCAGACTCCAGACTGCATTCGGTGTTCATCAAATTTTTGAGATTTAGTAACTTCAAGTGTAAAGATATCCTGGTTGTATTAATAAAAAGAAAAACTAAAAAAAATTATTAATGGGGACACAATTAATCTTATCAACGTTAACAAACTTTTCCAGTAATGAACTTCTAAGATTGTGTATCCGAGTGATAAGTGATTGAGATCTATCTAATTGTTCCACTTTACCAGTGATTAGTTAAAAGGAAAAAAAAAAGTTTCAGAAAATAATATTTAAAAAGCTCCCAAATGCTAACAAAAAGAGAAATATATCTTAAAATAAATTAATTCAAATAGTTGGTGACAAAAAAGTTTAATTCAATTGATTACATAGTATATAGATATATGAATTATTGTAAAGTCCCTTCATATATTTAATTAAAACATTAGTGAGGTCGAAAAGGAAAGCGTAACAAGATCTAGACAGACTTTTCTTCTGCTTGGTATAAAAAAGAATACAATTATTAAATTAATGTCCATTTGATGTAATTCAGATTGAGTATCAACTGTGGACCCCTTTTTATTTTGCATTACTTCCTTCTTGTAATAATTTTGCCTTGGTTAGGTTTCTTCAACCAATAAATATATTATCTAATATGTTTTGCTTTTAAAATTATTTAAACATTTAATTTCATAAATAAATATAGTGGTTAGGTTTTTGCACTCATAAAGAACAACAGATTTAACACCAAAATCAAATTATAATAAAATAATTTTTGAAGAGGAGAACATCAAACTTTCTTAAACTAAAACAAAGTTTTATTAAAAGAACATGTTATTATTTTATATAAATAATCCCAAAAATATTTTTTAATATACACAAAGTTTATTTATTTATAAAAATAATAATTTACAAAATTCACTGCTTTTATCACTTTTGAGTGTGAAAAATTCTCATACCAAGTGTGACATATATAAAATACTGTAATATATATATATACATTTTTTTCTTAATGTAACCTATATTGTCTATAACATTTTCAGGATAAAATAAATTTAGGACAATAAATTTAAGAAAAAATAGATAAAAGTGAGACTATTTTAATAAAGAGAAAGAGAATGATATATAAAAAACTTTAATACGAAATTTTATGAAAATTAGCGAAGGCAATGAATTTATTAAATTAAAAAAGTTTTTATTAGATAAAATTGAAATATCATCATTTTACTCTTGGTTATAAAATTTAATAAACAAAAAATAAAGTTTAAATAAATTGTGTTTATACATTATAAATGTTATTATTATTATCATAAAAATTAACAAACACTACAAAAAATTATATAATTTAAGAGGGGTTTATTATCGGCGGTTTTTAAACCCCGTCAAATTCATGGCGGTTTCTTATTACACATATTAATATTAATTTTGTTCAATTAATTTTATAACCTAATTACAAATGAGTGTCACTTTTCAAATCTTTTAAATCATAATTCAAAGCAATCCTATTAATATAAGTTTTTCATATACTTTAACAATAATTTATTAAAACGATTTAATGCCATAAAAAAAAAAAACTTCTATCTAACAAATTACAATCACAATAAACTATAAAATAAACCTAAAAAACAACTAAATATTAAACCTATTATACAATATACACAATGTTGTCCTATTACACAACTCTTAATTAAATAAAAATAAACCATAAATAATTTTATTTCTAAGATTTGAGATAAATCTTACTCATATTTTCAAATCTTCATCAACCTACTTGAATTTCATCATCACAAAATTCTCATCAATAATATGTCTTGTAATATTTATGAATTAAAATAAATGGAATAATTATTAT